CGACCCCTGGCCGAAAAGCGAAGCAAGTTAAACAATGCGAAAGCCTTATCCTGTGATGACTCCTCAAACTTTGGCGCGGCTCACCTGGCGGCGGCGGGCATTGCCGCTGCACTTGCGGCGGCTCGAAGCGAAGCCACGGCCACTGCAGCGCCTGCAGGTCGCGCAGGCAGGCTCGCCACCGACGATCGGGGAGAGGTAAACTGGCCTTCCCCAAAAGAAAGTGTAGTCGCCACCGCGTCTACTGATTCAGTCCATGCGCGCGCTGGGTGCCCAGGGACGCGCGCCCAATCGAGACGACGAACGAAGTAAGAAGCCACCTTGGCAATGCTGTCGAGCTCGAGACGCATGCGCGAGACGGAAGACCCCAAAGCCCCTCCACGAGCAACGCGTCGAGCTTCCGTACGATCACATTGCATGCACAGCGCATATGCGTGACCCAAGTTTGTATACTCAGACTGAAGGAACCACGCTCGAGCCCACTGAGCACCCTGCGGTTCGGCAGCCAGAGAGACCAAAGTTGGGCACGCTGGAGCCCATGCAGTCGCCCTCGAAGCCCAAGAGGGCCGCGCAGCCCAAAGGGTCTTCAACGAAGACCGCGAAGGCCCAAGAGGGCCTGCCTTTGGCGGAACCGCCAGACCCGTCCGTGAAGATGTGCACGGCGATGATATCCCGAAGAGCCGAGAGAGCCAAGGGCTTGGGAAGGGCCTCTATAGTGGTGGAGCGCCAGTGCTTGGTCAGTGACCAGTAGTTACAGTTAAGAGGGCGCTCCCACGAAGTAAAGAGCGACTGGTAGGCGCCCGATGGCTGCGGCATAGGACTGGAGGAACAACCTCGGAACAGGGGCGTGGCCCACTGGGCCTGAAACTCTTGGCGCTCGCGCACCCGAACACCCCACGTGCTCTGCAGACTGGTGGGAGGCATTGGCAGTGACCGACGGACCTTCCAGAACACCTCCTGTCGCGCAGGATGTTCGGGCTAATGAAAATCAGACTGCGTAGCGGCAGGGGCCGCAGCCAGCAGCTTGTCGCCCTCGGCCTCGGTTGCGTCCGACATGGCCTCCGCCTTTGGGTCGTGCGGCAGGCGCTGGCTCCTGCGCGGCGGGGGCTCGACTTCCGCGTCCTCTTCGAAGTCACGCCGCCCTTTCCGATGTGGGCCCTGATCGGAACAGCTTCTGGTTGAGCCGCTGGTGCTGCAGGTGCCGCAGGTGCTGCTGCAAACGGTGTTGGGCTCGTCCCCGACGCTAGTGGAGCCAGCAACGTGAGCTGACTGAGAGCCCGTTGGATTGTGACCATGGAGCCTTGAAGAGCCGTGAACGACGTAGTCAACATGGTTTGTCCCGCCTGCAATTCCGCAATGATTTTGGAGCAATCATGGGCGGAGGCGGCGTGGCCTGGGCTAGGCCTGAGGAGTAGCTGGCGCTCCTCGAAAGTGACCGCCTTGAACTCCTCCTCGGCGAGCTCCTCGAAGCTGGCCAGCAGCGCCTGGGCCTGCAGGACCTCCGCGGCCAAGGCCTCCTTCTGGCGCTGAGCGGATGTGGGCGCGATCTCCGCGGCGCGCTCGGTTTCCTGCGCCTCGCCGAACTTGGTCACCCAGTTGAGGTAAGCGGACTGATTACACACCCGCTCCTTCGGCAGGAACGAGCACAAGCGCATGAATTGGAACACCGCGTGTTCCTGCCTGCACGGTAAGGCCTCTGACGAAATGGCATTCTGGGCCTGGATCTGGTGCTCCACCCCGTTCATAGCCACCTTCAGGTGCTGGCGGTGCGCCCCCCTGTCCACGGAGAGCGCGGTCGGCTCGACCGACAGGCGGTGAGCCTTGGCCTCCTCCAGCGAGGCCACGCGCTTCTTCTCCAGGGACGTCGGAGTCGCCTTGGCCTCTCCTTCTGCTGAAGCTGAAGCCGAGGACTGCGCAGGATGGCTGCGAGAGGGAGCACGAGACTGCGAACGGTCCCTTCCCCGCGTGCGACGCTCGTTGAGGTAGCGCTTGGTACACCATGAAGTGGAAGCAGGATGCGATGAGCCACATCGCGAGCACTACCAGGGCCCGTTGCGCGTCTGCCATGGCGACGACTGCGATGACATCGGCTGCTGGGGCTGGCTGCTGTCGTGAGCTGAAAGCGTGAACCTGGCCGACGCCAGGCGCAAAATTGTTCGGGCCCGGCTGCGGCGCTCGCGGGCACGCCGATGCCAAGCTGGCTCGTTGCTGCGTAGCCGACGGGCCGTGGCGTTGGCCACGCGTCGGCAGCACGGCCTGCCAAGGGCGCCGAGGAGGCCCTGGCTGACGCGTATGGCCGCCCGTCCCGAGCGAGGCGCGCGCTACCTGGTAGCGCCCCCAGGTGCCTCGATCCGGGACGGCGGGTGAGCAGGAGGAGGAGGACGAGGAGGAGAAAGAGGAGGAGGAGGAGGAGGAGGAGGAGGAGGAGGAGGAGGAGGAGGAGGAGGAGGAGGAGGAGGGAGGAGAGAGGAAGCAGGAAATGGAAGGAAGCGGGCGGTGCATGCACGCACGTTTTGTTGTGATCTCCCAATATGGAGTGTGGATTCCTATGAGAGGTCGATCAAATTATTGCACCCCCCAAAAAAGTGATACGTGCAGCAGCGCGCGTGTGTGCAACCCTACATGCGTGGAGCCCTGGGTGTGCCACCCCATGTGAGGAACGTGTAGAAATCCATCCTCGTCGGAATCATCCCCACCCCCGCCTGGACAGGGCAACTTAGCTTTCCCAGCGTACAGTCGGACCGAGGTACAAAATCGAGGGTTCGGGGAGGGTGCCCTCATGTTCTTCGTGTTTGTTTGATGTTCTTGTGCATCCTGTTCAGTTTGGCCGGTGGAGGGTCTCATGCTCTTGAATGATGTTTATTTTGTCTTAGGTCCAGCCGTACCGCCTTTGGATGGGGATAGGCGGTGCCGCAGAACCCGAAGGAGAGGGCACCCGTCCCCACCTCAGGGGTGGGGGGGGCAGGTCGGCCAGCGGGGCCAAGGTTTTCCCCGTGGTGGGGGGGGGTGCTGCGCTCGTCCGGGGACCAGAAGACAGTGAAGTCCTTGAGCCACAGCATCGCCATGGGGGAAACGGGTCCTGAGGGAAACGGGTCTTGAGGATTGTCGCTGTTTTTGGCTTCCCTGGGCCCTCCACGGGTCCCAAGACTGTCACAAAACGATTCAGGATGATGCATTCGTCTTGGGGGAAGGCCCCAGGGTCCAGGACCCGTTTCCCTCAGGACCTGCTTCCCCCATGCTAACAGTAAGAGCCTGTGAATGCGAGTCGTAGCCGACTCAGCGATCGCTCGTGGTTGATCGCTCTGGCCGGCCCCTACATCGCCGCTTCAGGGTTGGAAACGAGCGAAAGGAGGAGGAGGAGAAGGAGGAGGACGGAGGAGGAGGAGGACGGGGAGGCAGGAGGAAGTAGAAGGAGGGAAGAGAGAAGAACAGGAAGGGAGCGGTGAGCTCCGGGCTGGAATCTGGATTTCTATCAGATCGATCAAATTATTCCAAAAGTTCAAGCCATTCCGCCGACTTCCAAAAGATGGGTGACGGCGACAGTGTTCGCTAGACTCAAGTAGGAAGACAAGACCAGGACCAGGAGGAGGAGGAGGAGAAAAGGCGCGGGCACAATGTAGATAATGGGGTTGCCGCAACGAAACATCTCCAGCGTCCAAAAACGTTGGAAAGTGACAGAGCGGTATCTGGTGACCGTCGGCCAAGCCGACCACCGTGCCTGGGTCGTGGAGAATGGACCTCTGTCAGAGGCTCATGTAGGGTCTCTTGAGATGCGTGTTGGATGCGTTTTTCTGACCTCTTGGAACCTGATGGGGATTTCGTGGTGCTTCTTTGGGGGGGGGACTTCCGGGGGCCTCTTCTGAGCCCTTTCGGTGCATGCTGGGGGTCGTGAGGGTAATTTGGGGGGGACCTCACAAGACACCTTTGGTTTCTTTCTCTTCCAAGGCAGGTGCAGGGCGCGAATAGTTGCGCTGGCGGTGCTCTTCCAAGCATGGCGAAGACGGCCCTTCACGTCAGACCGTACCCCGAAGAACCGCGGTTTCCCGCGGCGCCAGTTCGTGCCACCCGGAATTGCTGTGGCTCGGGCGTTCCATGGTGGGCGCATCCCCCAATAGCGAAAATGTCCGCGGTTTGGTCGTTTCGGCTGCGTCGCAGTCGGTTGCGTTCGGTCGATTCGATTCGGTCGGTTGTGTCGTTGCTGCGTCGCTGCGCCCTTATAGGCAGCTTGCGGACTGCCAGTTTCGGTCGGTTTCGGTTTCATTGTCAGTTCAGCCCGTGTTCGGTTGGGTTGTCGCCGTGGACGGACATGAAAAGTAATGCAAATCGCCTTGCCCCCCAGAACACACCGGAATTCCCAAAAACACCCGAGCGCCTCGATCGTCGACGAGGACGCATTATTGTTGCAGGTCTTTCGTAGGAGTGAAGACCGAGCCATCGATGCCTCATTAGATGACCAATTGCAGTTGGCTTGACGCAGATACGGCTGGGCGGTCGTTGAGGATGGTGCCCAGGAGGCTTGAGACCCTGGAGGATTCCTTATATGATGAGGGCGACGGTGATATCCATGGCCAAGCCTCAGTTGGTGTTCCACCTGCGTTCATACCCTGGTTTCATTATCCAATGTTTCCCTATCCAATGCCCTCACCGTAGACGTAGAATCGCCATGGATGAATTGGAGCCAAACCTTGTCGGCCAGACGACTGTTGATTGTTGCTTTGGGTTGAACGTTCGGCAGCCCGCGTGCTGTCAGTTCTGCACATGTCGGGCATCGTGCGTCCCCATGTGCACCCCCTGTGGTTCGTAAATGTTGCCGCTATTTGCACGTGCGTCTGGCTTGGGGTATTTGCGAGCCCCAGGTCTGGAGCCCACCCGAGCCCAAAGGGACGAGCAACGCAAAGTACTGTCTCCAATCCGCTCCTGTCACGTCTCATACATCCCTGTCCACCCGCTGCCCGTGTCCTCCTCCCCCTCGCGCTGCTCCTCCTCCATCAGTATATTGCGAGGCTCGAGAACAAGCTGGTCGAGCTGAAGACCGAGGTCGCGAAGCGCGACGTGGTGGACGGCGACGTGGACCCTGCCAGGACATCGGATTTCGCCTCCGAGGCCCACTGCCGAACGGCACCTTCGGACACCCTTGGGGGAACAGGATGGACCTCTATGTATTCTTTGAGGGATCATTGCATGCCTCAAGGGCCTAACAGATGTATCTAGCACGTGTTGGTAGGGCAGGCCCAGCGACCGCTTAATATTGTTTCCTCCGTTTCATTGAAACGAAAGAAAGATTACGATTCCACATGCAGGGCGTGTTGATTTTGAATTCGCGTTCCCCCGAGAGGCGCCCTCATAGTTTATGACCATGAAGTTGGACATCTAAATCTCCAACAGTCACGCGGGTAACAAGCGGCCCGTTTTCGAAATCGCGTCATCGCTTGACCGACCCTCACAAGTCTCAACATCAAGACGTTTTGTCGAAGAACAAATATAAACGAAACATACACAGAAGGATGAAGGAAAGTCAGTTTTCAAATATGGCATACTGCTCTGGGTTTTATCACAGTTTGTGATATCTGCGTCGGGTTATCACAGGTACCCACAGTTAGAATAGTGGGCGGCTCTCTCTCAAGATTATTTAATCGCTTCGCTCATTCCGCCGGCCCGTATTGGTGCACGGCTGTCGAGTGCCCGTGTGATCGTTGTCAATGGGGTGTTGTTGGGTCGTTATTTTGTTCATGGATGGCTGGCTTTGGGTGATTTCGCAGGCGGGAGCCATTCTTTGCCCGCCTGAACCTTCTGTTTCGGAAGGTGGCGGCTCGTGAATACGATCGCAGGGAACAAGACAACATTTTGCAGTTTCCTTTTCTTCTCTACTTCATCCCTCCGCTGCTATGTGTCGTCGTGTGTGAGTGGGGGCGGGGTTTTGGGGGTAGCAGGGTAGAAGCGCGAGCGTGGAAAAGGCGAGTGGCAGAGGAGGAGGAGGAGGAGGAGGAGGAGGGGGGAGAGGAGGAGGAGGTGGAGGAGGAGGGGGAGGAAGAGGCGGAGGGAGTAGAGGAGCAGTGGAAGAGGGAGGAAGGAGGAGAGGTACGACTTCGCGAAGGGCTGTGCGAAACTGTGGCTGATGTGAACGCGGGCCCTGGGGACTTGAGTGGAGCTTGCTATAATATGGCCACGGCCCCCATGAAAGGAGTGCTGTATCGAGGCGGGGCCCCTTGTCTGACCGCGGGCCCAGGGGATTCCATTGGAGTTCCCTGTGGGGCCACGATCCCCGTCAGGTGTGTGCCGAACGGAGTCGGTGGCCGCTCTGTGTCCGCGGGCCTTGGGGCTTGTTGGTGCAGCTCCGGGCGGGGCCTTGTATGTGGCTGGCGGCGAGTTCCCTGTGGGGCCACGATCCCCGTCAGGTGTGTGCTGAACTGAGTCGGTGGCCGCTCTGTGGCCGCGGGCCTTGGGGCTTGTTGGTGCAGCTCCGAGCAGGGCCTTCCATGTGACCGCGGCCCCTGGAGTCTTCGGTGGAGCTCCCTGTGTGCATGATACTCGTCAGGGGTGTACCGAATCGAGGCGAGGCTCCCTGTGTGCCATGATCCTCGTCAGGGGTGTACCGAATCGAGGCGAGGTCCCTTGTGAGGCTGCGTCGCCTGGGGCATGCGGTGGAGCTGCTTGTAAGACTACGAAGCGGGTGAGGGGTGCGCTGAGGGAGGTGGAGGAGGAGAGGAAGAAGCATCATGAGGAGAGAGGAGGAAGGAAGGAGGAGAAGGACGGAGGACGTGGGGAGGTGTTCAGGGACAAGCGTGGTCGTGAAGAGGACGCCTCTTTGGGAGGTTTCTTGGGGTCTCTTGGGGGGCCTCTTGGGAGGCCTGGCGGTGCGGAGCTGCAGGGACGGCGGCTGCTTTTATTTAGTTACCTTCGGCAAATTCGCCACCGTGCTTGGGTGGTGGCTCTGAGGCTTCGTGGACGGTCATTGGGATCTCGTTGGATGTCTCTCGAGGGCTTCTTGGAGACTTTCGAGAGTCGTTGTCGAGCCTCTTGGGGTCTCTTTCGGGCCCCTTGTCGCCTTTTGGGGCCTGCTGGAGCGGAAGGCTCGGATTCTCGGTTCGTGGTCTCCATCTTGGGCCCCTCTTGGGGCCCTCTTTGCAATTCACAGCCCAGAGCCTGCCTATCTAGAGCCTACTTACCACAGATGGCCCCTAGAGGCCGAGCGTGACATATGTATAGGATCAGACTCCACAGGAGCCTTTTTTATGTATCCCTGCGTGTCCCGGCGAATCGGGCCCCGTTTAGCCTCCAGGTTGCAGCCAGCCTTGCTTAGTAGGCCCTCCGAGATCTTCCGAGATCCCCATTATAATATCCCAGAACAGGTTCATCCGAAACCGTTTTGGCTCAAGCCTTTGCAGCGTCACAGTGACGCTGGACTGACTGATGTGCGTCTGGGAGGCGCAGAGCAGAGAACTGCCCGCCAATACAGATCCCGTTCATCACCATCGTGCGACCAGAGTCGCACTGACACTGCCCCAGATCCCCCAATAGCAACGACCTCACACACATCATCGAAAGAGACGAGAGATTAGTATCCTGGCTTGATATATGGCGAGAAGGGAGATCAGCATTCTGGATTGTATCAGGGCAGTGGTCTATCAGCGGGATCATTGCATGGTAGCGGAGCAATCGCTCCACGGACATAGGTTCACGGACAGAATCCACGCACTATGGCGCAGAATAACGGAGACGATATCGCACCGAAGTAGAATGGAGATCTCACCACGGTGGATGACTACGAAAGAGATGTGAAGGCCTACATACGAGGGACCCGTCGAGACGAACGCTATGTGCGCGGCCCACGACTATGGAGACGACTCGAAGGCCGAGCGAGACAAGCCGCCAAGGACGTCGACTGGGACCGCATCGAGAAGGACGATGGCGCTACCGACTTGCTCAGGCACGTTCGACAGAAGCTCGGTGCTCAACCCATCCAGGACGCAGGGAAGTATCTTGCCAGATGGATATTTGGTCTACGACGGGACACCGGAGAACCGATGCCGAGCTACATCAGCAGAGACGATGAGGCTTATCATGACGTGGTCAAGGGGTTCGACACCGATTTCAAGAAGCAGCGCACAGCCCGACTCTCGGAGAGAGCAAAGGAGTGGAACACCCTCTACGGAGAGCTCAACTGGTTCTTGTACAGGATCGAGCAGGAGGGCCCAGAGGACGCTGCAGAGAAGGCCACAGCTGAACACTTCGCTCTGGAGATTCGTCAAGACGGGTCTTGAGAAGATCCCACTGAATCCCGACTTCGGGACAGACTTCAACCAGGCGGTCCTCCTAGACCAGCTGCGCGGATGGCCACTGCTACAACGATCGAGATTGACGCCGACGGAGCGGGCAGCAGTCATCAGCGCAGTCAATGGTAACTTAGACTACGACAGCATCGGAGAGCAGCTACGCGTTCCCTGGCCAGATGATGAGCTGACCAGTCGGGACAAGAAGCAAGGCAAGAACTTCCGTCACCGAGAACGGGGACGAACCCACGCCGGCTGGGAAGCGAACGGCGAGGAGGACGATGACTACAGCTACTACGAAGAGCACGAGTCCGAGGCGACCTGCGACGGCCAGGGCGACGAGGAGGATGAGGAAGACCCCGAGGAGCCGCTCCACAGTGCCCAGGAGATCGAGGAAGCCGAGACCGCTTTCGCCGCCCAGCAGGGAAGCTTCGAGGAGGCCCGAGATTTATTGAGACGAGTGAAGACCGCCAGGAAATTCTACCCCGTGGATGAGAACAAGAAGCGAGAATACCGAAGTGGACATCGCAAACCGCCAGGGCCCCGGGCTGGATCCAGAGGCCCAGGGTCATCCAAGGGACGAGGCCGCGGGAGCGGACAGCGACGTGGCGGACCACCACGACGAGAAGGAGATCGCTCCCAAGGCTGGCCTCCCAGGAAAGGACCACGTCTGAAGTGCGGTGGTAACCGCGAGACCAAGGATCATCGAGATTGAGAACGCGCATCTTCTACTGGCAACCGGGGCGACCGAGACCGACGCGCAGAGGGGTTCGGAGCTTTCGTCTCTTTCGGCACCGAGCAGGATGCCGATATGGAAGCTAACCTCATCGCGATCGAGATGTCCAGGCTGCGGTTGGAAGAGCCCCTCGCCAACAAGCCAGTGAACAATAATCGGCCGAAGACCGCCAACCAGAAGAAGCAGCTGGACAAGAATTCCCACATGCTGATCGAGGGGCCATCGAGTTGCGAGAGCCAGTCCAGCACGAGAAGCTACCGATTTGGTCTACCCTGGAGAAGGCCGAGGACTGGATTCTCACGAGTGTCAAGCAGAGCTCCTCCAAGGGTTTCGGCATTCTCGGCATCGGCGCGACCTCCAGCATCATGGGCATAGAGGCCGCCGAGAACCCACGCGACATTATCTACGATCAGACAGGCAAGAACATCAAGATTGACGTTAGTCAGAAGAGTACGTTTATATTTGGCGACGGCAGTGCCGGGACCTGCGCCGGCAAGGCGACCCCCCCCCCCCCCCCCTTCGTGATCGCCGGCGTGGACGGCGAGCTAGAGATCAACATCCTCGACGCAGACGCCCCGCCCCTGATCGGAGCGGGCGCGCTGAGCCGCCTCGGGGCTGCGATTGACTGCGAGGCACACGCTGTTTACTTCAAGAAGCTCGGGCGCCGAGCTGAGCTGCTCATCCTTCCGAGCGGCCACCTTGCACCGCCACTTGTACGTCAAGCCGATTTTGGCTTCGCGGCACCCCTTGAGTAGGGGCGCGCGCCCTCGACGCCCGAGACTGCTACGGTGCCGGAGGGAAAACCTGAAAATAAGCAGCCAATCCAAAGCGAGATATCTAGACCGTCTGCAGCTGTACCCCACGAGGTCCCCGACGAGGTCTCAGACAATGGAGCCCCACAGGCCCCAGGTACATCACCATTGCCTACGACCACGGGCACAGCATCATTACCTACGACCACGGGTGCATCATCATTACCTACGGCAGCGGGGACATCATCGTTACTCGGGACTACGGGGACATCATCATTACCTACGACTACGGGGACATCACCCTTACAAACGTCATGGACACCATCAGAATCGCCCCCTACAGCACCAACTTTGACATGATCAGGAACACCTACAGAGGCTCTCCCAGAGATCCCCAAGTTCCCAGAGCTTCAGCCCCCAACGCCCCCGCCTTCCAGAGCCATTTATGGCGCAATAGATCCGAGCCCAGAGCTCAGATTCCAGCAACCAGCATTTCTTCCATATCCGCATGAGCCTCAGACGCGAGGCGAAATGCCGCAAAGCCGAGAGCCAGCAGGTGAAGCTGGAGAACGAGGAGATGATCGGATCATGGGAGGCGGTGCCGCCACTGGATGCAGGCGCTCCGACTCGCCCTCCGACGTCAACGAGACCTACGCAGCCGATGCCGCCATCGGCTCGCCTGATCCAGCATCAGGACACGAGGGGCAACATATTCTACACGGTCGAGGGCTCGGAGCTGGACAAGAGCCTGAAGCGCCTGACGGACACCTTCCTACTGGAGCACCTGCCGACCTGGGAGATGTGGTCCAGCAAGCTCCTGAAGCAGTGGACGATGTGCGGCCGCTGGGGGCGGGTCATCATCAAGGTCTTCCTCAAGACGATCGACCGGGTGACCTGGAAGCTCGACAGCATCGGACTCCCTGTGCAGCTGCTGCCCGAGAAGTACCCGACCTGGCCGGCGGAGCTCGGGCATCGTGCGAAGATCGAGCCACAGCGCCCCAGGACGGAGACGAAGCAGAGGTCAGCCGCATCCGCGGCCGCTCGAGAGCAGAACCAGGAGCTGCGGGCCAACATCGAGACCGCAAAGTCCGATTTCTCGACCAAGTATGCGACGGTGGATGCGTGAGCAGCGCTCAGCTCGGAACAGATCTACGAGAAGCTCAAAATGGTGACGGTGGTCAATCACCTGAAGCCCCTGTGCAAGACCTGGGGGCTGACGCAGTCCGGCAAGAAGGAGGAGGTGATCGACAGGCTCATCGCGCACATCATCGAGCAGCGCGGAACGGCGGCAGCGACGATCAGGGTCAAGAAGGAGCCGGAGACCAAGAAGGTGGAGACGGGGCCTATTGTTGTGGGCCCGGCGATCCCAGCGCACTACACGCAAATGCGCCGGCGCCCAGACTGTCAGCAGCAGCGGGGCATCGCGAAGAACGAGCCGATCGCGAAGGCGAGGCCCTTCGGGTGGCGCCACCAGGCGCGCGGGAGCAGGGCGAGGACCTGAGTGACATTCAGGCCGGGAAGCTACGCTGGGGAAGCGACGAGAGCCGCCCACTGAGAGGCCATCAGCGTCAGGCCATTCGTGCAGCTACCCACTCGACGAGGTCGGCCATCTTCGGAGCTATGTGCGCTCTCACGACTTTCGGCAGATTGACGATGGTCGAGGCGCGCACCCACGAGGACTCTAACCTTGGCCAGGTCTGCGACGAGAAGGGCTACCACTACGAGAGACTCGGCCTGTTCAACGACTGCGACCTCAGCTAGCCGCAGGGATACCACAAGGCGAAGTTCCTGCTAGACGAGAGGCGCCCAGAGCTCCTCGTCAGCACACCTCCCCTGCGGGCCGTGGTCGATCACGCAGAATATCAACCAGCGCGACGACAAGCAGAAGGATAATCTGCGCAAGAAGCGACTCAAGAGCCAGCGAATCTTCGAGAACAACAACAGGCTCATCGAGCATCAGGTGCTTCACCTGAATGGCTCGGCCCTCGCCGAGCAGCCACACAAGAGTCGGTCGTGGCAGAAGACCTGCTGGAAGGACCTGCACAATATTCTCCCCTACGAGGTGATCGTAGACGGCTGCGCCTGCGGACTCAAAGCCCCGGGCACAGGCGAGCTCCTGAAGAAACGCTGGAAGTTCCTGGCGAACGACAAGAGGATTTGGGTGGCCCTCCAGCCGCTACAATGCCGTGGAGGACACTATCATGAGGAGATCGAGAGCAGTCGGAGGACCGAGGCCTCGGGCTCCTATCCCAAGATGCTGCGCCGCCGGGTCCTCCGAGCTCTGACCAAGAGCCAGAATCAGAAATACTTCGAAGAAGAGGTCGTGCATGTCTGCATGGCCGCTACCCAGCAGCCACCTACTGAGCCGACTCCAGAGGAGGACGAGACATCAATTCCACCACAAGATGGCAAGGAGTCACACGACCTCACCAGCGACACAGTAAAGAAGCTCGAGAGCTACATCAGGCTGGTTCACACCAACCTGGGACACTTACCTCGAGCACATCTTCTACGCTACCTACGAGACCGAGGTGCGAGACCTGAGGTGCTACGGTTGGCCAGAACCTTCAAGCGCGGCATCTGTGATGCTCACCGACCGCCGACGAAGCGGCCACCAGCTTCCTCAGCAGAGCAGCCTCTGAATGTTCACGAAGTTTTGTTCGACGCCTTTTCTTGGATCCGTCGCAGCACGAACACCGACGTGATGGCGCTAGCGATCCTCGACGCCGGCTCGGACATACTCTACGTGCGGCTTATCGACGAGAAAGCGATCCCAGGGACCTGCCGACAAGTTTGCGCGGGCCACCTTCGACACATCTTTGCTACGAAGTGGCCCCCTTGGATGGGACGGCCGAAGGTCATGCGCTATGATCCAGCCGGGAGCGCCATCTCCGACGAGTTCCGCGAGTGGATCGAGAGCCAGGGAGTCTACTGCCTCCCATGCGCTGCCGACGCCCACTGGCAGATCGGCAAGATCGAACGAGCCATCGAAGCGTTCAAGGAGGCCCTTGACGCCTTCGACGAGATGATGTCAGCTGAAGTTCCCACGAGCGAGATGTTCGGACTACAGACAGCAACCAGGAACGACCTGATCAGGATCGACGGTTTTAGTCCGCTGCAGCGCTATGCGGGACGGACACCCATTGGCACCACGGTCAACCTCTTCGACGAGCCGACCAACCTGCCGCTCATCAGCGACGAGCTGCAGGATGGCACCTTCAGCAGGGACGCTCAAGTACGACGGATGGCACGGCTAGCTCACATCCAGACGGAGAACTCCGACCGAGTCAAGCGTGCGGAGGCCGCAAGATTCAGATCTTTCAAGAAGTACGAGACGGGCGACCTGGCATTCGTCTACCGGCGGCTCCCACCAGGAGCCCGGCGCAAGAAAGGACAACCCCGATCCATGCCAGGACGAGGCCGCCGGTACTGACCTGGACGAGTACTCTGCCATGAGCCTGCCAGCTCAGGACATCGACCTGGTCTGCCCAGGACGGTGGTCAACATCGCGCTAGCTGGACGATTTTACCGAGTTGCGCCCGAACAACTTCGGCCCGCCACACCTGCGGAGGAGGCGATGGCGTCGCTACGCTCGCGCCGCGAGCAGCCTGGAACATTGACCTTCGGCGACGTCCAGAAGCAGCTCGACGCGAACAAGGTGATCGACCTGTCGAACGAGTCCCCACCCACTGGTGAGGACCTGGCCGCTGACGACGGAGAGTCGGTCAGCGCCCGCACCTTCGAGAATGACGCAAGCGGACCCTGGGCCATCCCTGAAGACGAGGACCTACTTGTTCCACGAGGAGATCCTCGGAGCTTGGACCCAGGCGGTGGCGGAGGCGGCGGGGCCCCATCAGCCCCACCAGGCCTCGAGGAACGACCGCTCCCAGGCCCGCGACCGCCAAGGCGACCACGGAGGAAGTGCAATCCCTGCGATAAGGCTACCGAGGCCCAGGAACCTCTCATCCAGCCAGCACCACCAGAAGCTCCACCAGGTATTCCACAGACTGAAGACCACGAAGCTGGGCAGCCAGCCGAAGCCGAACCGACTGCAGAATATGAAATCATCATGGAGACTCCTCCAGGTGACGATCAAGAACCTCCCGCGACTCAGCAACCTCTGGCCGCGGACACGGACGATGAGTTGGACGAGACGACGGCGCCGAACGACAATGACAAGCGTCGGCTACGATCGCCAGGATCTACGGAGCCCCCGATCAAGAAGCAGCGGATCAACTTGGCGACCCAGGAGGACTATTCCTATACCTGCAGGAGGGTAACTTCTACGGGGGCTACGCCTACAGCGTCCAGCCGTATGACGAGGTCAAGGAGGACGACGAGCCCATCGTGCTGGACATCCTTGTCAACAACGAGCACACGCTCATGGCTTACATGGACGACCCCAGCAACGTCGTGGCATCGCAGGCCCGGAAGGGCCGAGTCGAAGTCTCATTCAAGAAGGCGGCCCCAGAGGAGAAGAACCTGCTACTCGAGGCACAGCAGAAGGAGTGCACCTCCGTCCTCAGCACGAAGGCCGTCAGGATCCTCAGTCGACAGGGGGTCCACCCAGCGCGTCTGTTGCGCTGCCGTTTCGTGCTGACCTGGAAGAAGGATGACAAGGGCAACGTGCTCAGGGGCAAGGCCAGATTGGTCGTGCTCGGTTTCAGTGGCCCCGACCTACTTCATTTACGGACGGAGTCTCCAGTTGCATCGCGACGGGCACGTCAACTTCTGTTGGCCATGGCAGCGAGACACAAGTGGAAGCTGGAGAAGGCCGATGCCGTCACTGCCTTCCTCCAGGAAGAAACGGACGAGGAGAAGCGGAAGATCTACGCGGACCCCCCGAAGGACGTACGTCCGGCCTTCGGCATGAAAGACGACGAGGTCCTGCAGTTGCTCAAGCCGGTGTACGGGTTTGTACCTGCTCCTCGCAAGTGGTGGCTACATGTCAAAGAAACGCTCAAGATGCTGCAGCTGGAAGCGATACAGTGCGAGTCATGCGTCTGGGCCATCCGAGACAGCACTCAGCTGGTCGGCATGGTCATCCTACACGTTGACGACATGATGATTGCGGGCGATCATACTCACGCGGGCTTTCTCAAGAAGCGACAAGAGATCCAACAAGCATTCGAGTGGACCCCCTGGGAAAGTCGAGCATTCGTGCAGTGCGGTATCAGCATCCGTGAGAACGAGGATTTCACTTGCAGTCTCGCACAGGACAGCTACAGCCTGAACGTGGAGCCCATCAAGATACGACGTGGACGGAAACCTACAGACGGAGTCTCAGACAAAGAGAGATCAGACTTACGAGGGCGACTTGGCACAGTCGGCTGGCAGCCTCAACAGTCCGTCCCGTGGCTAAGTGCTGAAGTCTCTCTACTTCAAGCGGAGATACCCACGGCGACGGTCTCGACCATCCAGGAGATCAACAAGCTCATCCGCACCATGAGCGATACTGCCGACGTGGTCATGCTCATCCCCGCCATTGAGCATATCGCCGCGGTTGGCTGGGGCGATGCAGCCTGGGCTGCCCGTATCACCGGCGAGGCCCAGGGTGGCGCGATGATCGTGTTGGCCCCACTGTCTTTCCTGAGCGGCTCGGCTGAGACGGCGGCGCCTGTCTCATGGAGATCGTGCAAACTACCGCGAGTCGCCAGCAGCAGTACGAGTGCGGAGGTTCAGATGATGACGGAGACCCTAGACGAGATTAGCTACGTGCGTCTGTTCATCTATGAGTTGGAGTGCGGCCAAGTGGACTACACGAACAAGCAGCACGTGAACGACGCCATCCCATCCTGCCCTGGCATGCTAGTCACAGACGGCAAGTCGGGCTACGACGCGATCGAGAAGAGTGAGTCGGCTGGTCTTGGACTACGCGACAAACGTACGAGCATCGAGTGTCTAGGCATTCGACAGCAGAAGGAGCAGACAGCCCTCCAGATACGTTAGGTTCACAGCGACGCTATGCTCGCCGGGATCGTGCCGCCAAGGTCTTGCTCGAGTTCTTCAGGACAGGCCAGCGCTGGAGGCTCGTGGACGACCCTCTACACCGCAGTGCCAGAAAACGCAAGACCGAGGGCATGGACAAGCTCGACCACGGCAAGCCGCTGTCCCCCGACGATGACGATGCTATGCTGGACGCCCTCATCTACTAGGCCCGCGACAACCCCGACGAGCAGGACAGCCCTGCTGGAGATGCAGCCCTGTGGGGCACAGTGAGGAAGCTCGCGCCCTCTGTGCTTTCTGTGAATACAGCCGCCAGCGGCAGGCCTCGATGCCGTAACATCGATCTTTAGCTTTTGGGCATGCAACTCACAGCCCAGAGCCTGCCGAATGGCCCCTAGAGGCCGAGCGTGACATATGTATAGGATCAGACTCCACAGGGGCCTCTTTTATGTATCCCGGCGAATCGGGCCCCCTTTAGCCTCCAGGTTGCAGCCAGCCTTGCTTAGTAGGCCCTTCGAGATCCTCCGAGATCCCCATTATAATATCCCAGAACAGGTTCATCCGAAACCGTTCTGGCTCAAGCCTTTGCAGCGTCACAGCGACGCTGGACTGACTGGCGCGCGTCTGGGAGACGCAGAGCAGAGAACTGCCAGCCAATACAGATCCTGTTCGTCACCATCGTGCGACCAGAGTCGCACTGACACTGCCCCAGATCCCCCAATAGAAACGACCTCACACACATCATCGGGAGAGACGAGAGATTAGCATTCTGGTTTGATATCTCGCGAGAAGGGAGATCAGCATTCTGGATTGTATCAGGGCAGTGGTCCAGCAGCGGGACCATTGCACTCTCGGGGTCCTCTTGGACCGACTTGGGCGCCTCTTGGGCTGTCGTGGGGCCCTCGTGGGCGGTCTTGGGGCTCTCTTGGAGGCATATTGGGCCGTCTTGGGGTAGTCTTGGAGGCTTCTTGGGCCGTCCTGGAGCGTCGGGAACGGGAAAAGGCGAGGAGGCAAACGACTTTGAAAAACCCAAGGGAAATCAATGGTTTTGGCGCCACGAGGCTTCGTTGACGTTCATTGGGATCTCGTGGGGATGCCTCTCGAGGGTGTTCTTGGAGACTCTCGGGAGTCGTTTTCGAGCCTCTTGGGGTCTCTTTCGGGCCCCTTGTCGCTTGTTGGGGCCTCTTAGGAGCCTTTTGGGGCGTCCAGGATGCCTCTTGGAGCGGAATGGTCTCCATCTTGAGCCCCTCTTAGGGCCTTCTTGGGGCCCTTTTGGACCGTATTGGGCGCCTCTTGGGCTGTCGTGGGGCTCTCTTGGACGGTCGTGGGCTTCTCTTGGAGGCCTCTTGGGCCGTCTTGGAGCGTCGGAAAGGCGAAAAGGCTAGGAAGCCACAAACCTTGAAAAGCCCAATGGACATCAATGGTTTTGGCGCTCTGAGGCTTCGTGGACGTTCATTGGGATCCCGTTGGATGCCTCTCGAGGGTGTTCTTGGAGACTCTCGGGAGTCGTTGTCGAGCCTCTTGGGGTCTCTTTCGGGCCCCTTGTCGCCTTTTGGGGCCTCTTGGGGGCCTCTTGGAGCCTCCAGGAGGCCTCTTGGAGCGGAAGGCTCGGATTCTCGGTTCGTGGTCTCCATGTTGGGCCCCTCTTGGGGCCTTCTTGGGGTCCTCTTGGATTGTCTTGGGCGCCTCTTGGGCTGTCGTGGGGCCCTCGTGGGCGGTCTTGGGGCTCTCTTGAAGGCCTCTTGGGCCGTCTTGGGGTAGTCTTGGAGGCTTCCGGGGCCGTGTTGGAGCGTCGGAAAGGCGAAAAGGCGAGGAAGCCACAAACCTTGGAAAGCCCAATGGAAATCAATGATGTTGGCCTCTTGGGGCTCTGTTGGAAATGGTCGGGGCTCTCTTGGGACGTCTTGGAAGCTTTTTGGGCCGTCTTGAGGCCGTGTTGGGCGTCTTGGGCCGATCGCTCGGTGATTCGGAACCCTCTTGGACCGTCTTGGATTCTTGTCGGGGCCCTCTTGGAGCGCTCCGGGGAGCGTGGAAGGCCGCACCCAGGAGGAAAACCATCTTTGAACTGAGTTTGCCGGGAGTGTCCCGGGACCTTCCCGGGGTATTTTTCGCCCGGGGCCCCCCAGGGGCCGCCCCGCGCGCGCGAACTAGAAATATTGTTAAGTAGTTACCGGAGATCTTAGCACGCCTCTGGCCCGTTGGGCCGGCGAATTCTCTCCCTGTATTTTTTTAACCAGAAGTGATCTTACAGCTCACATTCCAGTCAAATGCATGAATTCGGTGGCGGTCCCTTTTCGAAGTTGCGGTTTCTGCTGAGACCTCATAGACTATGCGGGCCATCATGCGTAAAATGAATTTCCTCTATTCGGACATAGCGCAGGTCGCTCTTAAGATCGCGCCCTCGCTTTGGTGCCGCGGATTATCTTACAGAAAGCTTGTTCAGGCATCAGTTTGGGCGGCGGTTCCTGCTCAGCTCTTTTTGGAACTTGGTATATTCCGCGACCGGGTGTTGATGTGATGGTCGGCTTCCATGATGTTCTCACCGCTTCAGTATCCTCAGGGCCGCTTCCTGTGGCGTGGTTACGACCTTCCCAGCATTGCCCAGGCCCAGACCTTGGGCAGGGCGCCAGGAGTCAGAACGATCACCCGCCCGGCCGCCCCCAGAATATGCGACGGCGCCACAGGATCGCGACCTTGCCGTAGTGAAGGCGAATAGGTTGCGTGCATTGATGGGGAGGGGCTTTGGGACAGGGTGGTGGGTCGCAGCAGCAACGACATGTGATAGGTGCAGTCTGGTCCTCTAGGGAGAATATTGCATATTATAAATTGTTGGAAGTCCGCGAGGATCTCTTGGATCGGCGCCAGAGGCGCCGCCAGGGGGCTCCACCGCCGATTCAAAAAATCCGCGCGGACCTCCGAAAGTTTATGTTTATGCCGTTTTACTTTTTCGAGCTACAGCGACATGTGATAGATGCGCTATGGTCTTCCCATTCCTGAGTCTTCCAGCCTCCTCTTCGAGGCAAGATCGGGATGAATGTCCAGTTTGGAAGAGGGCAGCGTGGGCCGCCAAGATCTCGCAGTTGGATCCAGAACCTTCCCCCTCCCTCCTGCTCCTCTTTCTTCATTCCTTCCTCCTCTTCCCTGCTCCACCCTTTTCTCCCCCTCTCACCATCCTCCTCAACCCTCACCCCCCCTCTTCCTCCGCCCCTCCCCCTCTGACCTCCTCCCCTCCTGGACACTCCCGCTCCCCCTCCCGCCCCCTGTTGTCGTCGCTGCCTTCGCTCGCGCTGCCGCCGTCGCTGTCCTCGCCCGACATCGCGGAGTCCTCTTCGTCGTCATCGATCTCGTCGTCCTCGCTGGACATGGACGACGCCGCGAGCGCGCGACGCGGCCAACGTATTTGAGAAGTCGCGATTGTTCGCGACCGCCCCCCTCCCCTCCGCGGGAGCGGGGCGGTCCCGCCCTGAGGCCGCGCCCGAGGCCGAGCGTGCCGCCGAGGGCGCGCCGGCCGCCGAGGCCGCGGCCGCGGCCGCGCCGCCCGCCGCCGAGGCCGCGGCGCCCGCGGAGGCCGCCGCCCTGGGCGCGGGGCAGCGGGCCAGAGGAGGAATCGACCACACGTCAGAGGGACCCGTCGCCGGAGTGACCTTTTTGCGGGCTCACCAGGGTCCCCCGGACCGCTCAGCGCGATGCGATAGTGGTTGCGTACGCGCTTCGATTTGACCACCGTGCGCCCCGAGGAGCAGCCATGGGTCTTGGCATCGCTCGGACGTGTGCATGTTTTCTCGGCGGGGACCATCGAGGAGCATCCTGGATCGTGTTGCAAAAAAAGCACGCGCGAAACCGAAAAATGCGCGGGGAATGGATGTCTGAGAGATGGCAAGGGGTGGGACCCAGCCATCCGACGTCTCGACTTTCTCAGCGCGGGGTCCCCGGGAGTCCCGACTCTTTCCCCAGGCCCAGTTTTTCATCGTGAGTCGGTTTTGGCGATCAGGGGGCCCAGTAAGGGCTTCGAGGGGCCGAAAACGATAAAAGTCCTCCGCCTTGATTCTTTCAATCCGTTGGATCTCATATTCTTTCGGGCAGAGAGGACCGGAGAAATGTCGGCCACTCGCAGAGTGGGGTAGGGGGAGGGGGAAGGTTTCTTAGAAGCACCCCTGCTTCCCTGAGGGCGCGGGCCTTGTCTATAGATGTAAGGCCAGCGCCTTCTAAGAAGCAGCCACATTCTAAGAAGCCTCCCCCCCTCCCCCTACCCAAATTGTGCGCGCCGCCAAGAAGAGGCATTCGTATCCATACCGCTACCCTTCCCTCGTTTCCACATATTGGGCGTAGTGGGAAGCCCTCGTCGCCACTGCTGGATCCGCTTCGAAATCCTGGTCAGAACGCACCCCAGGAAGCGTCCAGGGAACAGTGGTATTGGTACCTTTTGGTTTCCTCATGCAGGGCGGGCGCCAGGGCCGAGGCCGCAGAGGCTTGAACAGGCCACCGGGCCCGGCGCCTTCGCCCACGTTCGGGCCTTGGGGCCTTCACATATCGATGCGGCTCGAGGAAGATGGCGCGGGGAGATGGGGCCTGGGGATCTTCTCGTCGTGGTGTTGCACCGTGATTCAATTTGTTCGAGAGGTCGGTTTAGGAGTCTGTGGGCCCTCGCTGGGAGGAGGGGGAGGAGGGGGGGGGAGGAGGGGGGGGGGGGGGCGCAAAGGGGGTTCCCACCCCTCCTCCCCTTCCTCCTCGCCGTTCCCTTCCCTCCCGCCCTCTCCCTCTCCCCCGTGCTCCTGCTCCCCCCTCCTCTTCCCTCCCTCTTTCCTCCCTCCATCCCCCTCGTCTCCTCCCCCCCTTTCCCTTCCTCCCTCCCTCCCTCCCTCCTCTTCCCTTTCCAACGTGGCTTCCACCCAACCGAGAGAGAGAGAGAGAGAGAGAGATCAAAGACCAAAGACCAGAGAGGGGGCAAGCTCAGAGAGGCACCCCGTGCCCACAGCCACGGGCAGAAGGAGGGAAACGAAGGAGACGACCAGAGAAAGGGTAGCCTAGAGCCACAGTTGCAAGGCTGGGTCCCCCGTGGGGCAGGGAGCGGAAGAGGAAGGGGAGGAGGCTGGGGGAGGGCGGCATAGGTTGTCTCAAGATGTCCGCGATATGTGTTGCCATGATTTGTCCACTTTTGCCCCACGGAAGTCCTTTGTCCATCGGTGGTCTTGGGGACCTACAGAGGCCCTGGGACACCCCGGGCGCTTTCCAGACGGGCGACACTTGTGCCCCCATATCTCAGGGCCCCATAAACAGGGACTCTGCTAAACCAGGACATTGGCGCGCTCGAGAAATCTGCAGCCATAGGTCGAAGCATTCTTCATTCTTCCTTCTCTCCAGGTGGATTTGTCGAAGTCCTGCTTTGCCTTTCCTGGTTCTGAGGGCCCTAAAGGACCCCTCACAGCCAGGCCCCTTGTCGCACGTGCCCGCGGAAGGCCGCGCGTGGCGTGGAGGCCGCTCCGCCCGCCGAGCCCGCGCCTGACGTGGAGGCCGCCGAGCCAGCCGCCGAGGCCGCGGCGGCCGCTGGGGCCGCGCCCGCCGCGCCAACCACCGAGGTCGCGCTGGCTTCCGAGGCCGCGGCGCCCGCGGAGGCCGCTGCGCTGGCTGCCGAGGCCGCTCCGACCGCCGAGGCCGCGCCGACTGCCGACGAGGCCACTGCGCCAGCCGCCGAGGCAGCGGCGGCCGCCGAGGGCGCGGCGCCTGTGGAAGACGCGGCGCCCGTGGAGGCCGCGGCGCCAGACGCCGAGGCCGTGGCGCCAGCCGCCGAGGCCGCGGCGCTGGCCACCGAGGCCGCGCCAACTGCCGAGGAGGCCGCCGCGCCGGCCGCCGAGGCCGCGGTGGCGGCCGGAGCAGAGGCGGCGGCTGCCGCCGCCGCCGCTGCACCGCTCGCCCCAGGGCGGGCTTCGAGCGCGGGCTAGGGGTCGTGACGCGCCACGTTTCCACGCTTCTCAGATGGCACGGGAATGCGATTTGTGCGATCGGTGGTGAAGATGAGGATGACACAGACGACTATTGCTCTCTCGAGCTCTCTATTTCCTTATTAGGGATGCTTGTAACGAGGGGTCCTTAGTAGGGATGCGTACAGTAAGAAGCCCTTAGATTAAGTCCTTAGAAAGGAATCGCTTGTAGCATGGGGTCCTGAGTAGGGATCTCTTCAGAGATAATTCCGTCGTAAGGATGGCTGTGGTAGGGATTCGTTCAGTAAATATCATTGTAGTCAGGATTCCTCAGTGAGGTAAGGATGTTTCCGGTAAGGGGTCCTTAAGAACGATTTCATGTGTAAGGGATATGTTACAAGGATCTTGTCATTCAGGAGTCTTGCATAGATATGCCCTTAGTGGGAATAGTTATCCAGTATCCGTCGAATAAGAAGCCCTGAATAACAATGTTTTAGTCAGGAGTCCGATCTGTATTATGTGAGAACGCTTGTAACACGGATTATGGATTCAGGATGTGCTTCGTAAGAATTATGTCGTAAGTGTATGTTTAGAGAGAGGTCTACGGAAATGAAGCCTTCATCAAAAGGACCTTGAATAAGTACTATGTTGACAAACAGTCTTTAGTAAGGATGCCTGTAGAGAGGAGCCCTTAGGAAGGACCCCTCTAGTAAGGAATCCGTCGTAAGGATCCCTTTGTGACAAGGGGTCCTTAGCAAGGATCCCTTTAGGAAGGATCCCTTTCGAAAAGGCTCCTGAGTAAGGGTGGTTTGCTAGTACGGACTTCTGACAATTCACGCGTGGCACATCCCCACCAGTCCATTCAGAAACGTTGCCCATGAGAGCTGACGGGAAACGGAAGGAAGAGATACATCTAGTGAAACAAAGCGGGCAAGGGGAGGAGGGAGAGGAGCATGTTGAGCCATTTTGGAGGTCGTTTTGGAGCATCGGAGGCCCTCTTGGTGCCATCGTGGGGGAAAAAGAACGAGGAGGAGGAGGAGGTGGAGGACGAGGGACGGGAACGATGACTAGAACGAGGACGAGCTGGATGAGTTGGAGGAGGAGGAGGAAGAAGATGAGGACGAGGAGGACAACAGAAATGAAGGAGGAGGACGACGACGACGAAGAGTAAGACGAGGACGAGGAGGACGAGAATACCAAGGATGAGGGGGAGAGCGAGGACCAGGAGGAGGGCGAGGTCGAAGAGAAAGAGACGGAAGAGTACGAGGAGAGGACTTGGAGGAGGAGGACGACGACGACTACAACGACGACGACTACGACGACAATGAGGACGAGGAACACGAGGGCGAGGAGGAGGGGGAGGACGAGGACGAGGAACACGAGTAGGAGCACGAGGAGGAGGAGGAGGAGGAGGGTTCTTGGAGCCATTATTGGGTCCTCTTGGTGCCATCTTGGGGTTCGCTTGGGGCTTTCTCGGGCCCCCTTGAGGACAACGAGTAGGAGGACGAAAAGGAGGTGGACGAGGGGGAGGAGGACGACGAGGGCAGGAACGAGGACGGGGACGCGGACAAGGAGGAGGCGGAGGAGGAGGAGGAGAGAACGACTACGAGGAAGACGACCACGACGATGACGAGGACGAGGACGAGGACGAGGAAAACGAGAACTAGGATGAGGAAGACAAGGCGGAGGAGGAGGGGGAGGAGGAGGGCAACGAGGACAAGAACTCGTTGAGCCATCTTGGGGTCGTTGTGGGACACTCTTGGGGTCATCTTGGAGTTTGTTGTGGGCCGTCTTCGGGCACTCGTGGGGCTCGTTTGGAAGGCCCTGGGGTCCCCATAGGGATCTGTCAAGGTGCCTTGGTGCTCCCGTGGTGGGGCCCTCCTGAGGGCAATATAAGGCCTTGGGGTCATCTTGTAGGGCGTCGATTGAAGCAAAGGAGGGGCGGTCCTGGATGTTCCTCCCCCCCCCTTCTGGGGCCATCAACATCGCAGTTTGGGGCGCTCGTTTCAGTGCCTTGTGAGCCCCTCGTGGGGCTCTCTTGGGCAATCTTGGGGTCATCTTGTAGGGCGTCGATCAATGCAAAAGAGGGGCGGTCCTGGATTGCCCTCCCCCCCTCGGGGGCCGTCAAAACCACATTGTGTGGCGCTCTTTTGGGTGCATTGTGAGTCCCTCGTGGGGCTTTCTTGGGCAATCTTGGGGTCATCTTGAAGCCTCCGAAGCCCATCGGGAGCAAACAGGCGAGACGGCAAAATCCACAGATTGCTTTCCTAGGTGTTTGAATGCGTGTGGCTTCTTGGGGTGGTCTTGAGGGGGGTCCGAGGGCGCTTCGGGCCGCCTTCGAGCGGTCGTCGGGGCCTCCTGGAGCACGTTGGAAGCCATCGTGAGACATCTTCGGCATTTTGGGGCCATTTTGGAGCATCGAAGGTCATCTTGAGCCATCCTGGACGCTCTAACCCAACGGCCCCGTCCAAAAAGACCACAGGGAAGGAGGGGCAAGGTACCGCTCCCCGAAGGGACTTGGGGCGTTGGAAGAGAACATGGAAACTCGTTAGACCACTTACGCCCAGAGGGGTTCGTG